GTTATCTGCCATGCACTGTTAAATTTGAAGTGGTTCTTCGCATTTAGAATTGCGGGAAATTTCAAACAATGCATTTGAGCTTGCTCTTTCTTTATTGTTTTGAAGTATTTATTTATTTTAAATGAGGCTGTAAACATTCAGTGCAGATGGCCTCTTGCCCCCCACAGAGAGAGAATCTGTTTCTTTTGCCACAAGTCGAAGTCTCACCAGCCTGGGGTATGAAGGAGTCCTTGAGGTAGGTGCCAAATGAGAACCCAAGCCTTCAGGCAGAGCTGGATCTTTTCATTTTTAAGTAAGGCCATCTTTAAAACATGAGCAGACATAATTGCATCGTAGCACCAGGCAGGATTGCAGGGAGATCTGGATGTCCTTAAGCATAAGGATTTATAATATGTTGGCCTGCTCTTCACAGCCTTCTGTATGAATCTCCCTGTGAACAGTACCCAAATCAGACACTTTAGCCTTACCTTTCAGAACAATAAAGTTTCTTGCTTACAGGAGTTGCAATGAAGTGTACTAAAAAGCTGTGAATACCCAGATGATTCCATTATAAAACCTTTGTGTTTAATTTTAGGATCTTAAACACAAATGAAAGTCTTATAATGAAAGCAATTCTCTTTGTAGGTGTGAAGCACACCGAAAATGAACTGACTTTAGTGGGAGCTCAGTCAAGTCTAAAAATCATGCAATTAAATATGACTTTCAGGAAACATTTTAATACTTTGCTATTAGTCTTCTGTCTGTTTTGCCTGGGATTTAAATGTAAAATCAGATTTTCTCCCTAGATTGAAACTGACTTTCATCAGCAAAGGGATATTATCCAACTTTCTCAGATTTTTCAAAGATTTGCAGATAAACAAAGCTCACCAAAATTAGAGTAGTGGGAATTACTGATAAAAATGTAAGATAAAATAGCAGATAGCATCTCTTTGCCTTTCTATGCCTGTTACATAAAGTGGGGCCAAAAAAAATATACCCTCACAGGAGTATAACATGGACAGCTGGTCAGAAATTTTCTATAAAATAGTTTCTTTCAACAAGCATCATGGGGAATTTAATAAGTTTTGCATAACTCAATCTACGGAGAACAAATGCGACAGGAATCAAAACTTGTGCTATCATTAGACTTCAGTGCTATTTCAAGGTTGTTGAGTTTTTCTTGTTTTGTTTAGTTTTAATAAGAAATACAAAGTAATCTTTTAAAAACATCTGTTTTTTAATTACTATTTTTGATATGTAAGATACCACAAAGCAGATCTATAAAGGAGATAAACCCATAACTTATCCCAGAAAATCTCTTTCCTATAACCATTAGTTTTCAGGCACATTCAAGATTCTGCTCAGGCTGAAATACCAGCATCAAGGCATCTCCTTATCAGCTGTGTGCTGAAGATTACCAGGTAGACAAGAGACTTGACTGTCTATGTAAAGATACAGCTCAGGAAACAATAGCATGGAACTTCTTTTTGGGTGCTACGAGGCGTACCATCAGTTCATTGCTTCTTTTAAATGTTGCTATTCTCCTGCACACCCACTTGCTTGGCATATATGTCTTGTTACCATAAGGCATCTGATGTGGCACCAAAGACACATTCTTACTCAGCTTCACGCTGCAGCCAGAATCAATGGAGTAGCTTCTCATAAAGGAGATGTCTCTTTTTCAAGTGCCAGACTCCAGACATCTCTGACTGTATTGAGTAAAGCCCCAGGACTCAGTTTGGTTGCCTAAACATTGGCATCTGCTACCAACATGTAAAGATGCATAAAAGAAACCACAGGAGTGTCTGGCCTCTGAACACCTAGAAGCAAGGTGAACTTAAAGGAATTCTGTATCTTGTCTTCCAATTCCACACGAATGACTCAGGTGCCATAGGGCATCTCAAATCAATGAAGACTCTGCCATGTAGGAAACTGAATTAAGTCAATTTGATTGTGAAGGGAGTTTAGGATACAGCTACAAGTTGGCACCGTTGCTTACACACCTAAATATCAGATTTTGTCCCATTCTGGTGCTTACTGCAGTCTTGTTCAGCATTTGAGAACGTTTTCTACCCTCACTCTTAGCCCTATTTTTTCTCAGTTTTCACTGTAGTATTCCCACTTCACTCTTCAGGGCGTATTGAGCTATTATATGAACACAGCACTATTCCTTTTGCTCAAGAGTGGAAATGTTCAAAGACAAAAAGGCCAAGAGAATTCTTTTCTAGTCAATCCTTTGTTAAACTTACTATTCCTATCTACTGGAAATGAATGACTGTAGGTACTTCTTAAACAGATAACTGGTTTCTTTCGCACATAAGTCCATAAATATTTTATGTATTTCTTGGTTCAGTCAGTTCCCCAAAACGTGGCACAGAAGACCACACAAGCAATGTAAAAACCATGAGATATTCTAGCTAGTACAGATGTATTTGGATGTTATTTTTCTTGCTTTCTGATAATGTTAGCTCCTTCACATTTTCATTTCTCCAGACTTGCAAAGGATAAAAATGAAGATGAATTCCAACACATAATCTTTAAATCACCTGACCTTAATATTAGACTTGAAAGGGCTAAAAATACTCTTATATGTATGCTTGAGCTGGTATTGGTTTTGCAAACATTAAACAGAGAAGACAACTATGATGATTTCTTTTCTTAGTATGCCAGACATTTCCCAAAAAAAGTATATGATAATAACAAAATTAAAAAATGATCCCAAAACTCCATTTTCTTTAAAAGGTTCAAATATTACTGTAAGTCCAAACTTCAACAGTCATTGGTATCATTACTCGATGCCTGTAAAATAGTCCTTGTAAATATTTCATTATCATTTTCCTCTCGCTGCTAACCAGGGATAAACACAGCTTCCTGCTTTGAAAAGCAACTGGAATACTGGTGAATAAACATTCCAAAAGTGAGCTACTTTTTTAATTGCTTTCAGAACATCCTTCGTAAAAGACTGGGCAGTTCCCAGTCTGAAACAGTGACGGAGTTCCACGCTGAGCCCTTCTTTTGGTTAGGACTTCCTTAAGCGTGGTGTCTTCCTTAGAATTCCCAACAAACAAGGTTCCCACATCCAGCAGAGACAGGAAGATCACCCTGAAAGACGTCTTGGAGTCTTTCCCATGCTTGTTTTTGATATGTCCAACATCTTGGCAGTCGTCCATGTCTTGTATAAACTCTTTTCCCCAGACCACTATTTTTTTCACTATTTTCTTAAACATCTTTAAAGACTAAGAAGCCAAAATGTGGAGGAGAGGAATTCCCATTGAATTGAAGTGTTCCTATTTCTGACCTCCGCATGGCTCTGCACATTAAATTGGAGTTTACTGATGTGGTGCCTCAGACACCTGCAGTTACACGAGGGAGAAGACCTTCACTAGCACAGGATGAAACAGTTTTTATTACTGAAATAAGTATTTTTAAAACTGCAATGATATTTCAACATTTGAAGTAGTTTTCCACTCTTTAATAGTTTTTAAACGGAAGAAAAACATTTGGAAGGATTATGGTTTTTTGCTTTGGGTTTCTTTGCTTCTGTTTTTGTTCATATTCTTCCACCTAGAACTTATCAAAATTATTCATTATAAGAATGAAAAGAATTTAGTTACCCATCTTAAGGTGTCTAGTACCACCTGAGAGGCCCTGGGCCTTACGCAAACAGTTTACACTGCACACACATAATTTGAACAGACAGAACTGGAGTCAGTTGCTTAACAACTGATCTCTAGTGCCATTTCTGACATCCTGAAATCCTTGCAGAGCTGATGACTGGTACAGAAAACTGGAAAATAGGAGAATTTTGGGATCTGCAAATAGAAGCCAAGCTAAGGTGCCTAAATGCAGTATGTACCTATATGTGCCAATGCATCTTTAAACTTAAATGAGATTTACCCACTATAAGACTGCTTGGCAACTCCATTAAGGCTTCAATTCAGTAACTGATATGTGAAAAGCACTGCTGAAATTCAGACACTTTACAGTGCAAAAAACATGAAGAACAAACTGCTATCTTGAGAAAATGGCTTATATGAACTAAAGGTGCAATAAGGTAAATCCACCCTAGGAAATTCAACACCACCAATGCAAGAGTGTTGGAAACTGGTTATTTTTACAACTCACTGATCCTGGTCCAGTATTAGATATAGAAGTTGGTGGCCATGCATGTGGCAGGGGGCTTGGAGCTTGATGATCCTCGAGGTCCCTTCCAAACCAAGCCATTCTATGATTCTATGATGATTTGTCTGTGTGTTTAGCCTAGCTGAACTAGTTCTAGGTGTAACATTTCCTGGGCATTGTTTGGGCCAAGAGTTATTCCCAAAGGGCAGTTTGCACCCCACACTGTTCGATGCTCAGGAAGCTTAGCAGTCACAATCATGACCAAACTATGCCAATTGCCCTGGCACTGTTTAATTTCCTACTGTGTATGCAACCGTACATGCCTCCACATGGTATCATAGAATCATCATAGAATCATAAAATGGCCTGGGTTGAAAAGGGTCTCAATAATCATCCAGATTCAACCCCCTGATATGTGCAGGGTCAGCAACCTCTAGACCAGGCTGCCCAGAGCCACATCCAGTGGATAATCGGAATAATCAGAGCTTGCTTGCAAGTCTGACCTGTGAATAAGCCACACAGACTTGGCTACTTTCACCTAAGGAAAGGGGAGTCAGTCCTTCTGGGACTGGAAAAGTAGCAGTGCTGGGCAGCCTAGGGCATGGATCCCCTCTTGGCTCTGAAGTCAACAATACCATGTCAATCTGCAATCCACAGATCTGTCCCACAGTGCTTTAGAAGTGATGCTCCTACCAAAAGCAACCTTTGAAGCTGTATGCAGTCTGCTCTCACTGCTCTGCTCTTTTATTTTCTGTTTCTCTCACAGGTAATAAATAGTTTAGGGAGTAAGTCTCGATTTTCAGTCTGAAATGTGTGTACTGTAAACACTTCAACGTATGTAAGTCTATATATATTTATGCGTGCGTGCATTTCTTTTTCTTTCTCTTTCCCATCTGCAGTTTGATCACTCACGGTTTTGGAACTCCTGCAATATGTGCTGCCCTAAGCACTTTCCAAACTGTTCTCAGTGAAATGCTGAACTACTTGGAAAAGCACACATCGCACAAAAACGGAGGAGCGGCGGAATCCGGCCAAGGACACGCCAACTCGGAGAAAGCCCCCCTACGGAAAACTTCAGAGGCTGCTGTGAAAGAGGGCAAAACAGAAAAGACAGACTAGCTACATCAAACAGAATCTATTTCAAGAGAGTCTTGCTGCTGATATTTTTTTTAAATATATATATCATTGAGGGCGATTTATCTCCAGTGGACCAAATCAGAAAAAAAAAGAACCACAAAAAAAACAGAAAACAAAACAAAACAAAAAAAAACAGGGGGTGGGGGGGGGAAATAAAAAAAAAAAAAAAAAAAAAAAAAAAAAAAAAAAGAAAA